AATATGCAGATGACACAACCTTGCTTGCTGAAAGTGAAGATGACTTGAAGCACTTATTGATGAAGATTAAAGACTACAGTCGGCAGTATGGATTACATCTCAACATAAAGAAAATGAAAATCCTCACAACTGGACCAATAAGCAGTATTATGATAAGTGGAGAGAAGATTGAAGTTGTTAAAGACTTCATATAACTTGGTTCCACAATCAACACCAATGGAAGCAGCAGTCAATACATCAGATGACATATTGCATTGGGCATATCTGCTGCAAAAGACCTCTTTTAAGTGCTGAAGAGCAAAGATGTCTCTTTGAAGACTAAGGTACGTGTAACCCAAGCCATGGTGTTTTCAGTCACCTCATGTGAAAGCTGGACAATGAATAAGGAAGACCGAAGAGTTGCTGCTTTTGAGTTGTGGTGTCGGTGAAGAATGTTGAAAGTACCGTGGACTGCCAGAAGAACTAACAGATCTGTCCTGGAAGAAGTGCAGCTGGAATGCTTGTTGTAAACCAGAATGACAAGACTTTGTCTCACCTGTCTTGGTCATGTTGTCAGAAGGGACCATTCCCTGGAGAAGGAAATCATGCTCAGTAAAATGGAGGGTCAGTGAAAAAGAGGAAGGCAGTCAGTGAGATGGATTGATACAATAGCTGCAGCGATGCGCTCAGGTGTAGTAGGGACTGTGAGGGCGGTGCAGGGCCGGGCAGTGTTTCCTTCTGTTGTACACAGGGTCTCTATGAGTCGGAGATGACTTGACGGCGCCAAGCAACAAGATGCTGTTCATGCATAAGACCCATCGTTATTTTAACTACCTATTAATGAATAAAATATTTGCATCCTCGCTTCGGAGATGCAAAATTAGGGGAAAGTGTGTGTTTCAGAAGGAATGAAAATAGTAAACTAGCAGGTGAGATGATCTGAAAGGAAGATGGTGAGGAACCATTCCCAGCGTGGCTGCATTTACCAGCCATGACCACAAGGGGGCGGGCATCCGGTGGTAAGGTGCTGAATTTTAGGGTTTTAGAGGTTGTGCCAGGCTTGTGCAGCGCTGCCTCCCTGCTTCCTGCCTGCAGACAGTGCTCAGGAACCAGCGAACCTCACTCCAGGAGCTCCAGAACCATGAGAGCTTTCTCACCAAGCTCAATCAGGACCTGGTCAGAACCATCCAGGACATGGAGAACAGTACAGCCATAAAAGTGCGGGAAATACTGCAGCAGCAGGACATCCTTGGGGTAAGACCCTGTGTGGCCTACAGCCCTGCCTCAGCCCTCAGCCCTCAGCCCTCAGCCCTCTGCCCTCTGCCCTCTGCCCTCTGCCCTTTGCCTTCTGCCCTCAGCCCTCAGCCCTCAGCCCTCAGCCCTTAGCCCTCTGCCCGCTCTAGCACCCTCTCCTGTCCTCTCTGTTGCACAGTTGGCTTTCTCCACCCAGAATGTGCCTCCTTCCTGCTTTGCCCCATCCCTCTGGGCTTTGGGATCAGATGGAGGTGGGATTTCATCCAAATGCTCACTAGCTGGGAGACTAAGTTAATACTGCCAATTGGAGCGTCAGTTTCCTCACTTGGCACACAGTAGGTGTGCAAGAGAAAGTAGCTGCTGTCACCTGTACAACGTATACAAAGTGCTGTATATACACGCACATACTGTACACACGTTGTTGGTTCCCATTGAGTTGATTCTGACTCATGGTTGCCATAAACCCCTTGTGTTCAGAGAACTGCATCAGAGTTTTAAGCAGATTGCCAGGCCCGTCTTCCCAGGAGCCTCTGGTGGGTTTGAATTGCCAACCTTTCATCTACTGGTTCAGCTTTTATCTGTTGAGCCAGCCAGCCTCCTTACACATACATATACACACATATAATCCTTGCATGTTGTTGTTGTTGTTATGTGCTGTTGACTCGGACCCGACTCATAGCAAACCCTCCTTGGGTTTCCGAGGCAGTATCACTATGGAAGTAGATTGCCCAACCTTCCTTCCAAGAAGTGGCTGGCGGGTTTGAACCGCTAGCCTTCTGGTTAGCAGTCAAGTGCCTTAGGCACTGCGCTACCAGAGCTCCTATAATTCTTGCATTATCCTCATTTACATATGAAGACCTGGGAACACAAATTAGATGACTCGCTCAAGGTCACCTCGTTAGCCATTGCCAGAACTGGGATTTGAACTCAGGTACTCTGGCACCAGGATCTGTGTTCTTTCCACAGTGCTGTTGTTGGCTGCCCTTATCCCAGTGGTAGTAGCATTTATAGCCTGTGGGGAAGATTGACTTTGCAGAGACCTCCCAGGGCATCCTCTGACTCCCCTAGGAGAGTCTCGGTGATGTTGGGGTGAGAGGGCTGAAAGTTCGCAGAGGACCCAGGAGTTTGGGCTGGAGAAGAGTCTGAGAGGATGGTTGAATTGAGAAGTAATTGCCCTCTGACTGCAGGGAGCAGAGAGATTGAGCTCACCTGGAGTCGTTGAGATGAGGGGAAGATTCACACTTCTTTGGGACCAAGGCCCAAGGAAACTTCCTAGCACATTCTCCAGGCTTAGATAGAGTTGTTCTCTGATTTTCCTATTGGTCCATTTATATATTTTTTTGGTTCATTTCAGTTGCCTCCTAGGGGCCAAGCCCTTGGGAAACAGCATTCACCAGGACACCCTTGTCCAGATGGAACACACAGTCTAGTGGGTCACAGACAGACAGCCTTGCACATGTCCTATGATGAGAGTGGGGGACTTGCTGAGCTCAGAGGGGCCTCCCTAAACAAGACATGGGAGGATCAGGAAGGTATCCAGGAGAAAGTGATGATGGGGCTGAAACCACAGAAGTAGGTGTTCAGTGATAGCGAGGGGGAGAGTGTTCTGGGCAGAGGACGTGGTATGCACAAGACCTGGAGTAAGAGGGAGTATAGCTGGTTTGCACTGCCACACGTTGTTTAGCATGGCTGGGCAATAAAGTGTGAGGAAGGGATCAGGGAGAGCTGCAGTTGGCACAGGCCAGATACATGAGAGGCTTGTTGGCTAAGGTAAGGCGTTTGGGCCTTACCACAGGGTAATGATGGCTTTTAAATAGGAGGTCAGCTGTTTTTTTAAAAGATAATTCTCGTGTGTGGAGAACAGAGCGAAGGAGGACCATTTAGGTCCTCCATTTAGGATGATTTAGGACTAGCTGTTGAGCTCTGGTGGTGTAGTGCCTAAGGCATCTGACTGCTAACCAGAAGGCTGGTGGTCCAAACCCACCAGCCACTCCTTGGAAGGAAGGTTGGACAATCTACTTCTGTGGTGATACTGCCTCGGAAACTCAAGGAGGGGTCACTGTGAGTCGCCGGGTTCAATGGCAGTCAGTCTGTTTGGTTTGGTTGTAATATTGAAGGTGTGAGATAAAGAGAATTTGAATACGATAGTGGCCCTGGGCATGATTATGAGAGCTTCTAGGGGTGAGATTGATACAACTTGGTGACATAGCAGATGTGGGAGGGGTGTAGGGACTTATGCCTGGGTTTGGGCTTGTGTGGCCGAGTGCATGGTTAGGGCCTTTGGCTGAGGTGAGGTTGTAGGGGAGGGGAACGTTTGGAGGGGGTTGGGGTAATGGGTGACTGTTCTCCAGCCTCTAGTCTGTTTGCTGGGCCTCTGAGTGGGCTTGTGTTCAGGGGCTCCTCTGAGGAAGTGCTATGTGGCCACAGCAGGCTGTGCCCTCTTCCCCTCCCCACCCCCTGCCCTGAGGGGCCCCATTCCAGCAGAAGCTGGAAATTAGCTGACCCCGCCCTCCTGCAGAAGGTCATTGACATTTTGGAGTACTCTAACAAGAAGAGGTTGGAAGAGTTGAAGTGTGAGCTCCAGGAATGGGAAGAGGAGGAGCAACATAAGATCAACTGTAAGAATCTCTGGAGTGGCCTCCTTGACCCTCACCTCTGGCCCCTTAGGGAAGTCAGCTGGAGGGCATTCACTTTGTCCCTCCCTTCTTAGGCAGATGGAACTGGTAAAATGCAGAGCTAATAGCTTGCTTATAAAGTATCTTTCAGGCCCTGTGTGTCTGTACTTTGATGGGCACAGTCTCACTCAGTCATTACAACCACCTGTAAGGCAAGCACTGTCTTTCCATTTTACAGATGAGGAAACTGAGGCTAATTGGAGAGGTGAAGTGGCTTGCCCAGGGTTACATAGCTAGCAGCCAGAATCTAATCCCAGACTAGCTGTGTTTCCTGCCAAGGCCCCTTTGAGAGTCAGTGGCTGGCCCAGGACCCAGGCCTCCTGGCTCGCATCCCATTAGACCTTATGGTTTTTCTTCCCTGAGCAGACTGTAACCCTTCTGAGGGGAGGCCAGGGTGTCAGGCAGACTCAGACCTTGGAGATCTCTCCATGGAGGAAGGCAGGATAGACTTTGTCTTAATCCTGCTGTGGTTATGTCTTGGGAATCAGTGCTGCCCCAACTCTCTCGTTTCATTTTCCTGAGAATGTGCATATGAGGAAGCTGAGATCTAGAGGGTGAGGGGGTCTTGGCAGAGCTGGAACTAGTCCCGGGATCTTGTACCCAGTTGAGTTACTTTCTCCTGCCCAGTGTTGCTTTTTTTCCTGAGGGGTGGTAGATTCTCCAGTGGCTTCACTTTTCCATGCCTCCCAGTCCATGAGCTCACCTTAGCCCAGACACCAATTCGTTGGCCAAGAAAAGCCTTGCCTTTCAGGCCTCCTGGGAAGAGTCACTGAGGGAGGGTCCTACCTCCTGCTCCTCCTGACCTCCCTCACCCATCCCCAGACCTGGAGCAGCAGGTGGAGCAGCTGAATGCCAAGATCAGGAAGGCCCAGGAGGAAGTCAACTTCCTGAGCACTTACATGGACCATGAGTATCCGATCAAGTCGGTCCAGATCGCCAACCTTCTGCGCCAGGTCCAGCAGTTGAGAGAGAGCCAGCAGGTGGGTGAGCCCTTGGCTCTGTGCCCTGGACCATGCAGGAGACAGGGCTGGTGGCCAACGTTTTCTTGCTGGTCCTCAGGATGAGTTGGATGACCTTGCTGAGATGCGCAGGGTGGTCCTGCAGTCATTGTCCGATAAGATTCAGAGGAAGAAAAAAGAGATTCTCAAGTCTCTGGTCGTGGTGAGTAGCCAGGGTGCTACAGTAGGATCTGGGCCCCTTCAGACCTGCTCTCTTCCTTGTCCTCAGCCTGCACAGCCCCTACCTCTTCTTCCTTCACAGAGAGTCCTGGAGCCCCATCAGGATATTCTTGTGCAGAACACCCGGGATAACCAGGATATGGTGAAATACATGGACAAGTTCAGAGATGTGAGTGGGCAAAGAAGGTGATGGCCCCTTGTGAACGAGCAGAGGGTGGGTGGTACCTAGGACCTGTGGGAGTCAGGCTTGTCCTGATCTGATTCTCAGGAAATCTCCAAGTCTAGTGTTGGCCTTCCAAGAAAAGTTGCTGTTACTTTCACTTGTCATTTATCTGGGACGAGGATTAGCACTGGCCTGGGTCTTATGTCATTAACCAACATTGTTGGTCATGACCCATTAGCAATGTCATCAAGCAGACCCTGCTCAGCCATCATATGTTTTACTGTTATTAACCACCCCCATCTTTACCCCATAATTCTTGTCATCGCCCATCACCCATTAATGTTAATGAACTTAACTATCACCACCCTCTTCCATTAATTTTCATTGTCTTTCACCTTCCTCCTGCACTTCTCAGTATGAGTGGGCTTCATTATCTCCACCAGAAAACCAAACTCACTGCCATCAAGTCAGTTCTGACTCGTAGTGACTCCCATTGGGTTTCTGAGGTGGTTAATCTTTACGGAAGTAGATTGCCTCATCTTCCTTCCACAGAGTGGCTGGTGAGTTTGAGCTGCCAATCTCCTGGTTAGCAGTCACATGCCTTAGGCACTTTGCTACCAGAGCTCCTTATCATCTCCACCAGCCCCCATTAATTCTCATTAGCAAGTAATGTCACCCCTTTGCAACACTCACCGTTCCGCTGTTGTACATGATCCCTGCACCTCTAAAGATACCCTGAAATGTTGTTACTGACTTGTGAGCCAGCCCACCCTAAGTCGGGAGGCTCCTCTCAGGGGTTGAGGCTGGCCCGTGACAAAGCCCATGTGCCATTGCCCAGGTGTCTTCACTCCTTGTCCATGTTGCCCTTTAGCTTGTCTCCTGCTGTGCCTCTCTCCTCAGTTTATCAACCAGTTTACTGAGGAAATACCCTCATTAAGAGCCGAGGTGCGACACCTCCAAGCCCAGCTCCGGGAATACCGAGAGATCATATTTGAAGATGTCCTGCTTCGGAGACCCAAGTAAATGATCTTTTTGCAGTAAATGATTCTTTGTGTAGCTATGCTGTGGAGACAGGGTTCCCTGATGTCTGGCACATAGTAGGCTCATGTTACATAGGTATCACCTGAAAGAATTGAGGTTCAGAGAGGCAAAATAGCTTGTTGATAGTAACACAGAGCAAGGTTTCCCACTCAGTCGTTCGACTCCAAAGAGGTTGCTCATCCCTGAGGTGCCTCAGCATTTCAGAGGCAGAGTCTCTGCTCCTCCTTGGCCTCAGACCTCTTTGGAGGAACGTTAGCCAAACCTGTTCCTTTTCTGTGTTTGACGTTTTTGCCTTAGGTGCGTGTGCACACGATTGGGCTTCAAGGTCACAGGTTGTGTTTTGGTATGGGGCTCCCCCCAGTAAATACTAGTATTTTAAAGAGAAGGGCTTCCCTGAGGGTGTGTACCCCCCAAGGCTGTCGTCCCTGCCTGGCCTCACACTCCTCTCTGCTGCTTCCTACCAGGTGCACCCCAGACATGGACGTCATCCTCAACATCCCTGTGGAAGAGACACTACCCTTCTAGTTGGCACTACCATGGACCACCCCCCCCGCTCTCTTCCTGCCACCTGGAGCCTTGAATCGTCTACTTCCATGACCATATCCTCATCCAGACCAGACCTTAATGTGCAGTGTTCCTTCTGTCCTTCCTTCTCTCTCTGCCCCTCTCCTTCCCTTTGTCTCTCCCTATCTCTTTTCCTTTTGTCTTTTCTTCCCCCCACTTACTCCTCTCTCTACTGAGATTGGTGCTGCCTGGTGGAGAGATTTCCCAGTGAAGTTTGCCATTTCTTGTAACCAATAAAACTGGATTTATATTCACTCTGTGCCAGTGCCTCGGAGTCCCCAACTAATCCTCACAGCAGATGTGATAGGCATGGACTTTGTCTCAAGATAAGGGGTGGGCAGCTGTGCTGACTGAATCTGGGGCTCCACACTTCGCGAGCAGCACCTCTGGGAAGATGGCAGTGAGAGCAAGCCTAAGACACTGACCCTCCACGTGAGCAGAAAAGCGGCCAGAGATCTGTAATCTCCACTCTAAGAACTCTGAACAGTAGATAGAGGGTTGCAGTAATTAACTGCACACTGAAACAAGAGAAAGGTCACTTACAAACTGTGGTACATACACATACTGGAATACTATGCAGCACTAGAATAATGTAGAGTCTGCAAAACACTGCATAATATGAATGAACTTGGAGGACATTATGCTGAGTGAAGTAAGTCAATTACAGAAGGACAAATATAATACTAGTTCGTTGTGGTGGAGGGTCAAGGAAAGGTTTATATATGGAGGGAAAGTTTGTTGGTTGCCTGGGGTAGGAGGAAAGGGGAGGGAACACTGCCAAAAAAAAAAAAAAAATGCATTGACCCATGTCACTTATTTTTGTGTATTTCACTGTATATAAATTATATTTCAATAAAATGCATTAAAAAAAAAAAAAAAGATCACTTAAACAGTAACCAGAAAAACCAAACCCACTGCCATGGAGTTGGATCTGACTCATAGTGACCCCACCTTTGGTTTCCGAGGCGATATCACTACGGAAGTAGATTGCTCAACCTTCTTTCCGAGGAGTGGCTGGTGGGTTTGAACCGCCAGCCCTCTGGTTAGCAGTCAAATGCCTTAGGCACTATGCCACCAGAGCTCCCATTTAAACAATAGGAAAACTTATTTTTAAATTTTTAATTGTGATTTGGGTGACGTTTACAGAGAAAATTCACTTTCCATACAGCAGCTGTATACTTTGTCTCATGACATTTACTACAATTTCCCACAATGTAACAGCTCCCTTCCCACTGCCTCCCCATAGTTACCTCTTCCCTGTGTCCTTCCCTCCATGCACTCCTGCCCCCCAGCTGTCTCCCTGTGCATACACAGCCCTTCTATTCTCCCATGATTGATCTCTCCAAAGAGTATACCTAATGCAAATGTTCATTGCACATTGCCTGTCTTTTGTTTGGCTGGAAGCCACAGGAGTGGGTTCAATTCCAGACCAGAAGGGCAGCTAGGGGCCACAGTTTCAGGGGTTCCACCAGGTTCCATCAGGCCAGCAAACCTGGTCCCTTTTTTTGTTTTAAATGATGATTTTGAGTTTTGTTCCACGTTGCTCTGCCCCTTCTATCCAGGATCCCCGACATAGATCCCTCGTGGGAAACCTTTGCTGCTCTCCTGCTTCCTTCTAGTGCAGCAGCCAGGTGGCTGTGGCAGAGGGAAACGCAGCTTGTGTTCCCAAAGTGGGGGCTCTGATCTCTGGCTATGGAGTAATTAGGGCCGACTTTGCTGGAGGACTGTTTATATAGTGTATCTGTTACAATCTGTCTTCAAGCTACTGAAGCCCTATAGCCTTGGTCAGACCAGAACCAATCAGTGCTCACAAAGGGTGGGAGAGGAGGCAGTAAACAAATACTCAAGCCCGTGACTGCCTGAGAATTTCTTTAAAATATTAGTGCTTTCAGAAGCACCATGTATATGGAAAATTGGGAAAGCCATACACATGCTCAGTGCTAACACATTGTAACATTTTAATATACTGGTTTCACCAGAAAGTCACAAGGTATATAAAGAAACTAGAAATGAGGACTTACTCAAAAGAGCAAGACAAGGGGAGAGAAATTTTCTCTATGGAAACATGGAAGGTGCACAGACTAGGTAACGACTTGAAGACAACAGTACAACAGTATCAAGTGTGCTCAAAGAATTAAAGGGAAACGTGGACAAAAATGTGGTAGTTCGGTTTGTGTGTCAACTTGGCTGGGCCTGGTTGAGTGGCTGGGCAGCTGGTGGTAGTTAATCCCCATGAGGAGACTGGCAATCAGCTCCGTGGTGGGATCTACCACAAGCAGCTGAGTAGCTGCCTTTGGGAATGTGGTCTGCTTCCTGTATGTAAGGAGAAGCTTTGAGAATGGTCTATAGCCTGTGGCACGCTTGGACCCTGCATGTAGCTGTGTCGTTGCTCAGCTGCCTGCTATGCTCTGCTGACCTTGGGACTTACAATGGACTTAAGTTAATGGCCTGCCATGTGGTTTGGTAACATTGGGACTGTGCCTTTTTACTTGTCAAACTTGGGGCTTCTCAGCCTCAGCAGCCAGCAGCTGTCTGAGTGAAGAAATGCCTCTAGCTCCAGTGGGCTGGGAGCAGGAGTCAGAGCTGGACTCCAACGTTGAGGGGCTTTCACCCAGCCCCTAGATTCTGGCACTTTGAACTTGGACTTAAAGCCTCCAAATTGTAAGAATAAACTGCTATTTATTAAGGCCATCCCATTTGTGATATATCTCTTGTCAGAGTGGCACCAGGTAACCAGAACAAAAAAAATGAAAGGATATCAGGAAAACAATACATGAACAAAACAATAAACAATAAAGAGATAGATACTATACAAAGGAACCAAACAAAATTACTCGAGCTGAAACAGACAGTAATTGAAAAAAATCAATGGAAAAGTTCGATAGCAGATTTGAACTGGCAGAAGAAACAATCAGTGAGCTACAGGTGATCAAAATTACTAAATCTGAAGAGCAAAAAAAAGGATCAAGAAAACTGAGCAAAGCCTGGTGCAATTGTGGGCCACTGTCATAGGACTGTAAGAAAGAGAAGACAGAGAAAGAATATTTGAAGAAATAATGGCAGAAAATTTCCAAATTTGGTTAAGAACAATCTATAAATCCAAGATGCTCAACAAACTCCAAGTAGAATAAACCCACAAAGAGGTCCACACCGAGACACAATATAATCAAACTTTCAAAAAGCAAAGCGAAAGACAATTCTGATAGAACTGACAAGCAAATCATCATTTACAAGGGATCCTTAACAAGATTAAGGCCGATTTCTTCTCAGAAATCTTGGAAGCCAGAAAGCAATGGGATGACATATTTGAAGTGCTGAAAAAAAGGACTATCAACCAAGAAGACTATAGGTGACAAAACTGTCTTTCAAGAATGAAAGTGAAATTAAGACATTCCAAGATAAAAGCTGAGGGAGTTCATGACAAATAGACCTATTCTGGGGAGCTCTGGTAGCATAGTGGCTAAGACACTTGCCTGCTAACCAGACGGCTGGCGGTTCAAATCCACCAGCCACTCCT